TTGGTAAAAGTGCCTATATGCAAAAATTTTAATAACAACATCATCATTACAACCGACAAGAATAAAACTCTTTAGGTTCATCTCTGCTATTGGCGCAGTCCAGGGATAAAGCCATGCGTCACCCTTGAGACAGACTGGCCTGAGAACTTGAGCCCTTGTTGGAAAAACCCTGTGCAATGTGGGGATGCTAAGGAGCTTTATGGTTTTGTTCATGTTCTTCCCCGGGTTTTATCTTACTCCACAGAGGCTACCGATCTTTAATCATCACATTAGTCTCAGCTGTCAAACCTAAGACCATTATGAACTCCATTCTTGAAAAATGCAATGCCATCATTAATTTGTTAACCCTCTCAACCCTCCTGTGAAGGGGGTCAAGAACCACTCCCTTTTTAAAAATTTGCTAAGAAATAATGTTACTTTCTCAAGGTCACATCAGATTGGTCGCAAGTAATACTATTCAGGGTATTTCCATCCTCATTCTAAGTCCTTGCTCAGGTTCCCCCAAGGGGAAGTTGGGGGGAACCAAGCCAATTAAACAAAAAGGCCAGCACAAATGGAAAAGCCACTGAGGAGCAAAACAGCTAGAGCAGTTTACCAAAGAAGAAAAGGAAAAACAAACAGAAAAGGAATGAGGGGGAGGGGATCCTAGCAGAGAATGCATCCTAACTACACCGTTATATGTCTCGTAAAACAAGAGACAGAGAAAACACTCCATCACATTTGAATGAAAACTATGTATGTTTTCTTCCTAAAAGCCAAGAGGTAGAAAATTCAGGAGATATTCCCAAGATAAAGAGCTTAGAAATAGAAAGTGTTCCATATTACTGACTGATTTCAAAGGGGCTCATAAACCTGTTTGAAATATCTCCTGCAGGACTTAAAAAATACAGTAAGTTAATTTAAAATAATTGTTGGGGGGGTCAGCCCGGTGGCGCAAGCAGTTAAGTGTGCGCACTCCGCTGCGACGGCCCAGGGTTCGCCGGTTCGCATCCCGGGCGCGCACCGACGCACTGGCTTGGCAAGCCATGCTGTGGCGGCGTCCCATATAAGGTGGAGGAGGATGGGCATGGATGTCAGCCCAGGGCCAGTCTTCCTCAGCAAAAAAGAGGAGGATTGGTATTGGATGTTAGCTCAGGGCTGGTCTTCCTCACAAAGAAATTAAAAATAAAAAAAATAAATAAAAATTATTAAAATAATTGTTGGTACTAAATAAATAGCAAACACGCTGGAAGCATCAAATCAGTACTATATACGATCTTTGCCAGTTTCCCACAAGGATGTTCCCCATGGGGCCGCTGAATATTGGTGCAAATGCATGCATGTGTCTATGCACCTGTTTGAATCGGGAGGGCAGGAATGTTTAAACCAAATTAATCTGTGCCCCATCCCCCACTCCCTTCCAGATCCTCTCTGGATGCTAAGGGCAGTCCAGGCAGCTTAACAGATAATACAGCTATGAACTCCCATGAAACCTGGATTCAAACTCTGACTCTTGTACTTTCTAGCTACATAACTTTGGGCAAGATATTCAAATTCCCTAAGCCTCAATTTCCTCATTTGTAAAATGGGAATGTTAATAGTATCTACACCAGAGGTTTTATGAGAACTCAGTAAGATAAAGCATGTGGAATGCTTGGCATACTGCCTGGCACAAAACAGAGCTAAAGAAATGTGATAATTATCACTACTGGTATAAGCGAGTAGTGGTGTTATTAATCAAATCCCCCAGGAAGCTGTGATGGACACATTCTCAGATGCCCCTGTGATCCCTGCGTCTCCTTGTATTCAGCTTTGTTTGATACCCTCTCATTTGAGTCTGGTGGGAACTGTGACTGGCTTCTAAGCAGTACAATGTGGCAAAGGTGATGAGATGTCACTCCCATAATTACATTACATAATATAAGACTCTGTCTTGCCAGCAGACTTATTCTAGCATCTTTCTCTCCATTGCTGGCTTTGAGGAGGCCAGCTGCCATGAATCCTACAAACACAAAGAAAGAAACTCCACCAAGCCCTCAGTGAGCTTGTAAGGGGGGCTCTTCCCCATTTGAGCCTCCAGATGAGCATTCAGCTCTGGCCAACACCTTGACTGCAGACTTGTAGAGGACCCAGCTAAGCCACGCTTGGGCTCCTGCTGCACAGAAACTGCGACATAATCCATGTGTGTTGTTTTAAGCCAGTGAGTTTGTGGGAATTTGTTACACAGCGATAGAAAACATAATGAAATACTTTGTCTTCCCCATCATATTGATATTGGGCTCCATTGCTCAGCTCTTCCCTTCCTATCACTATTCTCAAAACTCTACCTACAGGTTGGTCTCATGACCATGGTAATGAATCTTCTTTTATTCAGCTAGTTCCAGTGTCACCATTAACAATTACTCAACAGATGTGGAAACACTTTTTGATTATTTCCGATGAACACAACCACCATTTACATTTTATACTTTAGTTCAACTACAGCTCTGTAATATTTAGAGAGCTGGTAAAATTTACTCAAGCCACTTAGCATAAATTTACACATGAACTTGTTCTTCCACGATCTGGTAAAGCCTCAAACGTGAACCACCAAGGCATATAACACAGGAGGAGAAACTGCTGGGAGCCGAATCAAAATTCAACAGGATAGGGATAACAGAGCCAAAGACAGAACAGATCCAGACAGAAGCAGGGGAGGGGAACAGAGCCAGGAAGTGTCGGAAAGCAGGCTGCCATATTTTTGACCATGTGAAGACAACACAAGACTGAGCTCTATGCGCTTAAAAACCCATCTTAAACTTTGATTCAAGGAAACTATTTTTCATACACAAACGAAAAACAAAGTATTAAGGTCAAATTCCATACAAAGTTATAAGAAAGAAGAAAAAAAAAAGGAGCAGAATAACATCCCTATAAACTATGACAGCATGCCACACAATAGACCGAAAAAAAAAAGAAAAGCCCAAAACACTAGCCTACTCTTTGAAAATAAGGTAAAAGACCTTAAGGAAATAAAATGACATAAGACATGAAAGAATATAATTCAGAATTAGAAAAACTCAGAAGTGAGGTGACAGAACACAGAAAAGAATTAGAAATAAAATAAAAATGCATTTCAGAAATGAAGACTAAACTAGAAGGCACACAAGAGGAACTAAACACAACATACAATGCCCCAAGAGAAACAGAAGATGGAGAACAGGAAAACCAAAGTAAAAAGGGAGACATATAAAGGATTTGAGACAGTCACATATTCTTTGCCAAGACAGGCAAAGAAGATCTAACATACAGATCCTAAGCATCCTTGAAGAAGAAAATCAAAGCAAGAGAACAAAACTAATATAAAACACTATGATTTTAAAAAACTTCCCTGAAATTAAAAAAAGATTTAAAAATATTATCAAAAGGATACACAGCAAACCTGAGAATATCAAACCAGAGTGACTAAGATTAAGAGTTACTCTAGTAAAATTTTAAAAAAAAGAAAGAAAAATGCTATGGATTTCCAGAGTAAGTGTCTTGTGAGGAAAGAAAATTGTATTAACTACAATACTCTATGCCAAAACAGAATAAAGAAACATATTCAAGTAAAGAAAAAATGAGCCAAGGGTTTTATATCCAGCAAAAATGCCTTTCAAGTATGCAGGGCACAGGCATACTGTTATTAACAAGCAAGAACTTGGTGAGGAATCTGTTAGAAAACAGGAGTCTATTAGAGGACTCTGAGGAATCTATTAGAAAATAAGCTTCAGGCAATCAATCCATCAATCGAGGGACACTGACATAAGGACCATAGGGTAAACATTAAATATACAGTTTCCTGTAGAAGACTAAACGAGGAATAAAAGGGAGAGGGCATGAGATGCAATGGCCGTATGGTCAGGCAGCGTGGATACCATACAACTGCAAAAAGTTGAGGGAATGAGAACAGCATAATGCAAAACAAAACAAAACAAAACAAAACATTCTTTTAAATTCTTCTCAGTAACTATATTTATTGTAGCATTAATATTATTCTGAGATTGGGTTTATATATAATGAGATGAAGCAGATGAATAACTATGGAATATGCCATCATCCTCTGCAACCTTAAGAACCAGGACTCTTAATGTGCAAGAAAGGAGATACAGATAAAATACAGAAGAAGGTAAGTAAAAACACCTCGTAGTCTGAATTTGAATTGGAGAGATTAGTATGAACTCCTAAGGGATTTTTATCTTAAAATGTATATACACACACGTAGGTAAATAAGTAAGTAAATAATTTCTTGGCTCTGTCTATAAAGGAGGCTTAAAAACAATAACCAACCCAGAAGCAATAAGCATCCTTAGCACCCAGATTGCGGTCTTGAAATACCATTTCCTGCTGAGAGAAACCAGGGCCACTTGGAGAATGGTTAATTCCAGGTTTAGGGCAAGAAATGTACTAGATGAGCCTGGAATAACTACCAAGCTTATGTCAGGAGCCAACTTGAAGATGTTCTCACTGGCCAAAGATATATAATTTGAGCTTCTACAAGGAAAATGATTACAATGGATTGAAACTCAGACATATTTAAATCCGTAAGTTCATAATAACACTTAAAAAAATAATCGGGCATTTTCAGAGGATCATAGGAAATCAATTATCTTGAAAAATGTTACATGTAAAGAGTGAAGAGTTTATTCCGCTTTTCCTCTATGAACTATGCCACTGTTTCAACAAATAATAAACGATGGGAAATGTCTCTATAAAAGCATTCCAATTAATAACTGAGAAAGAAATGGTAGAAAAATATCATGATTTTGTAAATCTTAATGAATTAACGAACTGAGGCACTGAGTATCAATAGCTGCTAATATCTCAGAAAGAGAGACAATCACTTCTGGGATGACTGGCAAATTCTATTTCTTGACCTGGACAATGGTTATGAGAATGTTTGCTCATTAAGCTGTAATTTGTTTGGGGTGAATTTCTATATCTATGTTTTATCTTAAAATTAAAAAAAAAAAAAAGTTTTAAAAAATCTCCAGATCCCTTACCTGTGCCTTGGCCAATTTCTTTTCCAGAAGGTCCCGTTCCCGCTCCGTTTGCTGCAGACGTTTATTAAGCTCCACTATATCTCCCTTGAGTGATGCCAGGGCTGCTAAATGGAGCTGCGGTGACAGAAAGAAAGGAGCACAAGGTGAGACCCTTCAGCAGAAACTCATTTCCTTCCCTTCGTTCCCTGTAATCAGTGTAATCATATAAGAAATGTATCATCTAAAACGGGACACTTTGGGTGCATTAATCTTAGGGGACAATGGACATAAATTAGGTGCCTTCAGGCAAGCTGGGTTATACGGTCACCCTAAATATAACTGGGGGAAAACTGTTATGTGTGGGCAGTGAGACCTAATTGTGGATGGTCCAACCAGAATAGAGAGCAAAGCTCCTCATTCTGAGGGTTTTTACTGAGTCACTCAGTAAGGATGACATTAAGAGCTAGTGTGGGGCTACCTGATTCTCAACAAAGAAGCAAGGAAAAGGCAGAACCGAATTAACCTTTATTTTGGAAAATAAGCAAGTTGAATAGGGCAATTCAATTTTTTGCAATTCAATCACCCATATTGCTGCATGTACAGACAAACCAAGGGGCTATTAAGAAAAAATGGGAGAGCTCATATTTTCAGTTGTCTCCTCTTAAAGTTGGCCCATTTATTTTCTTGCCAGCTCTTCCTTCCTCACTGCCCCACAGACAGACTAATTTGACCATGCTTCTTCTGTGCTAATAAGAAGCCATCTTGCAAGAACAGAACCAGAACTCTGATAAATTATGCTATGAAAAGACAAACCAAGAAACCATCCAGATATCTTTCTCAACTCTCTCAGGTTAACTGGAGCTAGAAAGAATGTTCTTCAACAGATAACAAGGGGTAATATGCACTTCCAGGATCTCAACCTGCTTAACTTTCAAGTTCTGAACGTTGAGCTTCAGCTGCACACACACCTTCCATACACTTGCCTTCTGTGGCTTTTCTGGCCAATGGTTGGGACTATCTTTAAGATCTGTTCAATGCACTGATGCCAGAGCAACACCACCTTTCAGCCTTCTTTGCCCTCTGAGTCACTACTTTGCATCTGTCTTCACTGTCAGTTTCAGTTGGAGCTCAGACCATGCCCTAGCTGAACTCCACATTACATTTGGGTGAGTGATTAGAATCAGAACAAACCCTCCCTCTTTATAGGTTTTTTTTTTTTGTAGCTTCTGCCAACAGAGATTTAAAGTTAGGAGTGAGCAAATAAATTTGATCTTTAAAGATGGACACAGTACAACAGTACACAATTCAACTTTGAAGATTTTAATTTCAGGTTTAGAAAAATGCTCTTTTCTGCAACCTGCCCCTCTACACTGCACATTGGCTGGTAGGCTTGGGGATGGGGGGTGGGTAGAGGAGAAGGAGATAGGGCAGGGATTGGGGTTTCAAAGCAGCTTTTTATGTTAGACCATAACAACAGTGAATTTGACTTCACTTAATTGCATTGGGGCTGCAAACCAACAGATCAATAGCCGATGTGAAATCAAGAATGCTTGAAATTTAAAAAAGGAAATGTCAGGCAATCTGGCGGTATTTGCCTTTTCATGTAGGGCTAGGGCTGCTCAGAAAAGGTCACTTTGGGTTTCAGATACAAGGTTTTGTGTGATGAATTCTCAGCACAAATACCACAGTGGTCCCATTGTACAATCTTTGTGAGGCTGTTTTGCTTCTAGTATGGTGGAGAGGGACACAAATTCACTCCCTTAGACAGCTGGGTTGCCCCCTCCGTCTCTGAACTGTCAATCTGAGGATTTTCCTTCAGTGTCAGACACTGTGGCCTGTTAACACTCTTATGTCAACTCGTGGGAGAAGATTCCCCATCCCACCTCTGGCGAGAAGGATAAAATACATGGAGTGCCGAGATGTTCTTTAAGAAATATAGGAGAGGAAACAAGGATGTCAACCGTGTGAGCCTAGACTTGCTTCCTCTCTCACACATCTCCCCTCCTACTTCTGGGGAAAAGGCTGCCAGAAGGGGGAGAATTAGGGGGAAAAGCTGACAGAGGAGGCTGTATATTCCACACTGACTTCATGAACTGGGCAGACAGGGAAACACATAGAGTAGTTATTTCCATCATAGTACACGGCAGAGGGGGTCCAGGATGGGTCATTGCTAAGGGGAGACCACTGGACTTGGAGCTGATAACACCTTCTGGCCTACCAGCTCTCCTGATGGCAATGAAGATCCATAAGATGAGCATTTGGGGCAAGTTCCTTCACTTCCCTGGATGGAAGATGCCTATCCATAAAATGAGAATAGACCAGTTGTTCTTAACCTTCCTTGGGTCACAGATTCCTTAAGAATCTCATGAATGTGACGGACCCTTCTCCTTGAGAAGAGTATAAATGTGAGGTTTGTGCATGTGTTCCACCTAATTATGGTGATGACACACTCTGGAATCTATCCAAGAACTCCAAATTAAGAAACGTCTGGACTAGACGCCCGTTCTGTGATCCCACATAAATTCTGTAGACTGTCTCATGTGTCATAATCACAGATGTTTGAGTGAGGAAAGGGCCGTTGGTACTTCACGTCTCCCACTTCCACATCTGCAGGTGAGGATCTGAAAGCCAGAGATTGACTTGCTTACTCCAGGTGCCATGGGGAGCTTAGCACCAGAACCAAGGCTACCTGTGTCCTTTCCTCACTATACGATGTTGTATGTGTCAGTAAGTTTCAGTTTTTTTTTACATGGATGAAAATTTTACTTAAAATATTTCCCTCTGATTATAAAAGTAATGAAAATGTAACAGAAAAAAAAAACCTAGAAAGATAGCATTCTAACGTTTTAGTGGTAGCCTCTGGGTGGTTTCAAACATTTTTGGGGATAATTTTTGTTTAATAATTTGATTTTTGTTTTTTTTTTTTTAAGAGAAAGAGGCTTTTGTATTAAAGAAACAGAAGAGTTGTGATTGTGTTTTCTGCACATGTAGGCTGCAGCATAAAAACTGTAAAGGGTTATTTCCTTTCCTGACTGCATCTTCTTTCTCTGTCCACCAGCTCTTTGGACAGAAGGTAAAACTTGAAACACGAGGTAGAATATCCACATGTTCCTTAATGCTACTGACAATTACTTAGCAGAAGCTAACTACACAGGGTGGGAAGTAGGGTGGAGAGAGAAGTTTGCCTGCAAATCGCAAGACATGTTGCTTCGAGTCAGGCTGGCAGACCACTCCCTCACCACCTGATGACTGAGATAAGTTCCCACCAAAAGGAGTGAACACTCCCTGTGAATTTCAGTTCAGCAGCCCTCCTTGTCCCACCTTGTCAATAACTTGGAATCAAAAGCTGACTTGACCTCCCTTCTTTTCGGGTTTCATCCCCCTCTTTCTGGCAGACCTGGTGGTATCCCTGCAAATTAAAAAGCTAAAGAGTTTGTGAGCAATGCTACAAGTATTATGATGGAACCTCTGTAGTGTCAAGGCAAGCATTAAAAAATAAGAAGTATAGACGGCCTTCTAGGTAATTTCTAAAAGGAGTGACAGGGGGTTTAAATCCTGGAAAGATAAATTTACCAAAGCAGGGCCGGCCCTGTGGCTTGGTGGTTAAGTGCGCTCGCTGCGATGCTGGCGGCCCGGGTTCGGATCCCGGGTGCGCATCGAGGCACCACTTCTCTGTCCATCCTGAGGCCGAGTCCCACATACAGCGACTAGAAGGGTGTGCAGCTATGGCATACAACTATCTACTGGGGCTTTGGGGGCAAAAAATAAAATAAATAAAATCTTTAAAAAAAAAAAAAAAATTTACCAAAGCAACCAAAACTATCAAGTATCTATAATAGGAAAATTACATTTATACCATTTTGGGGGATCTCTTTATTTATATCCTGATTTCTGAAATGGCCTCTAACTTGAGTCAGAGCTTCAGACATATGAACTATGAAGTACCATTAAAAGAAGATGTTTCACTAACCAAAGAGAAAGAAAACATACGATGTTTGGAGTCTGTGCTAGTCTCTTCCCCCACACATTTTTCTTTTCATGCTCAGGAACAAGATCTCGATTTTCAGCTGGGCATATTGCTGCTCAGCTAAGCCATCCCTGTTGCCAGCCTCCCTTGCAGTTGGAGCTAGGTGTAGCGATGTGACAAAGTTCTGGCCAAGGAGACATAAGCAGAAATATTATGTGGGAGTTCTGGGAAAATCTTTTTGACAGAGGTCACACCCTTCTTCTCTTTCTCCATCCTTGCTGCTTGGAACATTAATGTGATGGATGGAGCTCGAGCAGTCACCTTGCTCCATAAAGATGAGGTCCCTACTCTAGGGAGCCAAAAAGTGTAGGAGTCCCTAACAACCCTGTAGAGCCATCCTACCAGCTTTGGACTACCTAATTCCAGACTTCTGTAACAGAATAGCAAGAAACAGACCTCTGTTGTATAGACCACTGTTAGGTTGAGGTACCCTGGCAAATGAAGTTGATCTAATCCTAATTTATAAAGAATCAGATAAAAGTGGGTTCAAATCTCATTTATGCCACTTGGTGGTGGATTGTCTTTGGACATTTTAATCAATCTCTTTGTTATAGGGCTGTCGTAAAGACAAAATGAGACCACCTCCATAAAGTGACCAGCACAGTGTCTGGACCAGGTAAGCACTCAACAAACTTGCATTTCTTCTCTCCCAGCCAGGTTCTAAGTCACCAACCTTCTCAGAATAACCCCATCAAAGGTAGTGAGACAGACATTCAGATGAGTAAGTAACACAGTCCTGTCTTGGGGCAGCTTACTTTCCAGTGGGTATCCATCCACACCAAACTGAGAGGCCTTAGCTGCTTTGCTGGATTCTGCTGAAGTCCTAAGGCTTCTCTTAAGGAGCTGACTGCCAAGGCTTTTAGTTCTCCGTGAAATTTAACCTGAAGCCTAAGCAAGGTTGAGACAAGACCTTGATACTTCCTATACAAATCGGGGTCTAGTGCGTGAAGGATATAAATCCGTACATATCTCATATTTCTGGAGATAAAATGCACTAATTCCCTAGGCTGTTCTGAGCCCTGCTTCATATTCATTTTACAGTGTGTATCCAAATGAAACTAAACCACCTGGAAATCTGGCTGCAAGATATCTGTCAAAATGGTTGTTA